GAAAGCGGCCGCCAAGCAGGTACCAACGTCCACGCCTGCACCGCCGCCGCAGAGATTGAGGGTGCCTCGAAGCTCCGCTGTTGTAGTGACACTCACTGAAGCGGCAATAAACAAGGGGCTGACATATAGCGGTGTCCTCAAAGAAGCGAAGTCGAAGCTGGACTTAAAAGAGGTGATAGGCATCGAAGCGGTGCAATTCCGTCGGGCGGTTACCGGGGCTACCATCATTCGTATCCCCGGCGCCACTAGCGCCGCTAAGGCTGATGTACTGGCGCAGAAACTCCAAGAGTTATACTGCGACAACGGCGTCAAGGTCTCCAGACCTGAGAAACTGGTCGATGTCAAGATTGAGGGGCTAGATGACTCAACAACACCTGAGGAAGTAAAAGAGGCCATCCTCAAAAAAGGGGCGGGGACATGCACCGGCGACCAGGTCCGAACCGGGCAACTCCGCCAAAGCAGATCGGGCCTATACAACATCTGGGCCCAGGTCCCTGTTGCGGCAGCAAGGAAGCTGACGACGGGCCGTTTCCTGGTGGGCTGGGTGGCTGCCAGAGTCACCATTGGCAGGCCCAGGGAGCTGCGCTGTTACCGCTGCCTGCAACAGGGGCATGTGGCGAGTCGCTGCGACGCGGAGGACCGCAGTCGCCTTTGCTACAAATGTGGTCAGGAGGGCCACAAGGCCGCGTCCTGCCCGTCGCAACCGAACTGCATCCTGTGTACGGCGGCGGGCAAGGATGCAAAGCACCGATTGGGTAGTTACAAATGTTCGGCACCCAAAAAGATGGTCCAAAGAAGAGCGCTAGCCGAAGTAGCACGCAATGCGCCCCCACCGAACGGGGAGGATATGGAGGTGGCGGAAATCGTTGAGGATTAGCACAACCCTACGTTTACTCCAGGCAAATCTCAACCACTGTGCCAGAGCCCAAGATTTGTTTATTCAAAGCTTGGCGCAGTGGTCGATTGATCTCGCTGTCGCATCGGAGCCATACCTGGTTCCAGATAGAAACAATTGGGTGGGGGACCTCGAAGATCTAGTCGCGATATACGCAGGCGGCAACCCCCCAATTGTTTCCACCAGGAGAGGAAGAGGTTGTGTAGGCGTGAAAGTGGCCGGCATAGTCATCGTCGGAGTTTATTTCTCTCCCAACCGATCGTTGCCTGAATTTGAGGCATATCTAGATGAGGTCAGCTCTTTGGTGAGATGGGGAAGACCGCTCGAGGTTGTCGTGGCGGGGGATTTAAATGCCAAATCCAGGGCCTGGGGATCCTCCGTCTCCGACAGCCGCGGCGAGGCACTTATATCGTGGATGGCGCAGCACAATCTCGCGCCACTCAACACGGGCTCCACACACACCTGTGTGCGCATGCAGGGCGGGTCAGTCGTAGATATCACCCTTGCGAGTCCCGCCCTGGCATGTCGCGTGCAGGACTGGGAAGTGCTGACCGAGGTGGAGACTTTGTCGGACCACCGCTACATTCGGTTCGACATTCTCCCCTCGCCAGCACCCCCGACCAGTCGGAACATCGCCATTCCCCCAGAGATCGGGCAGATGTGGTCCTTGAGATCTCTGGACCGAGAGACAGCAGAACTCGCCGCCATAGTGGGGACGTGGTCCCACCGAATGGAGGACAAATGTGTCGACGTCGGCGTGCAATGGGTTGACGGAGTACTGGCGCACGTCTCGGACTGCGCCATGGTCAAAGTTAGGCCGTCACCGCGGCGATCGAACCGAGTGTACTGGTGGTCGGGCAATCTTTCGCAGTTGCGTTCTGCCTGCGTGCTTGCCCGCCGCCGGTACACTCGATACCGAAGAAGGCGCCCTGGATGGGACGAGTCTGAGGAGCGGTGTCTCTACACTGCATACCAAGAGGCAAAGAAGACTCTGCGGTGTGAGATAACCGCCGCCAAAGACCTGGCCTGGGAGGAGTTTTTGTCTACTCTAGAGGTGGACCCATGGGGCCGGCCGTACAAGCTTGTCATGAGCAAGCTGCGCCCCTGGGCTCCACCCCTTACCTCTACCCTAGAGCCGACACTCCTAACATCTGTAGTGTCGACACTTTTCCCTCCCAGTGCCCACAATACCGGACTTGACTTCCCCGACTCGATACCTCCCGGTTCTGTCCCGGGGGTATCTGAGTCGGAAATATTCTCGGCGAGGACAAAAGTGCAGAGCAAGCGCACCGCCCCAGGACCCGATGGGATCCACGGGAGGGTGCTCGCTCTGGCACTTCAACACGGATTAGACGAACAGTTCAGGACGCTACTTACCAAGTGCCTGGAAGAGGGAAATTTCCCTCAAAAGTGGAAAACGGGAAGACTGGTCCTGTTGAGGAAACCAGGAAAACCAGAGCACTCACCATCAGCCTATCGCCCGATAGTGCTGCTCGACGAGGCCGGCAAGTTGCTGGAGAGGGTAATTGCCGGTCGCGTCAGCGAACATCTTTCCTCGGCAGGGCCGGACTTGGCCGACACACAGTACGGATTCAGGCGGCACCGTTC